TTTTTTTTTCCCAAAACCACTAGTACCTTTGGCGCGTGGGAAAATAGCGGGCCTCCGGTGGGCCTCCGACCTTTTTGGAGGCCGAAACGAGACAGCCGCCGATCAGATTTATCAATGGCAGCCGTCGTCGGGCCCGGCCTCCGAAACTTTAGGAGTTTGGGCACTTTTCCCTATTTTCCCACGCACCAAAGTTACTAGGGCTCCGATTGCATTCATTTCATGTCCAATGGCAAAAGGAGGCCGGGAATCCCTCCACATCTCAACCCGGAAGACTGGGGCCCTTAGTACCCAGTATCGGCTTGTGCTGGAAACCGGGTCCAGCGTCTCATGTATTAAATGCAAAACTGGCAAAAGAGAGGATCAGATGGACAATTAAAGGAAGCAAAAGAAAAGAAAGGCAGCAAGTGCCAATTAGCAGAGTTCGCCACGAACAAGCCAGATATCTACGGAATGAAAACACACCAAACCTTAGACTGACCGCCATCCGTAGTTTCCTTAAAACTATCTAGATTTCTAATTACATTTCCAAAATTCTAATAAATGGTCACAGTCGTCAAGAGTATGTAGGGACCAGACCATCACATTGTCGGACGAGGAGCTGTGTCCGATGTACGGAGCCACTGACTCAGAGGTATTATTAGTTTTCCTTCTGAAGTAATGCTGACAAATTTGCCTGCCTTTGCCCAAGTTTGGTGGAACCAGTACGGTCCCTTCCTCTTCCAATCAGCATATATTGATATCCTAATGGTATAATATTGATATCCTAATGGACATATTGATCAAGTTCACCGTCTGTGTCCTGTTATTTGTCTCCCCTCTGAATACACCGGCATTGCGGGCTGCCCATATGCCATCCATGCTTGCTCCTCTGCAGATCAGAGCCCTGTAACCAGAACCTGACTTCAAGTTGAAGTTCCCCTCACAAGGGAGCTTGTCATGGAGAATGAAGTCGTCGGTCCAATCCATCTCTTGTTGGAGCTGTCCCTTCCAGTTCTCCTTCCACCATTCCCAAAATTTAATCCGATCTGTGAGGGGGCAGGACAACCAGAGGTGTAATGCGGTTTCCCATCCCCACTCACATCTCGTACACTGGGAGGAGATCCTCATCCGCCCTGAGACCAGCCATGTCGCAGTTGGGGTGGCGTGTAGAGATTGCAGCCATTGTAGCGCAGCGTTCCGCTGTGAGGGGATGCCTTTCAAAGCTATCCATAGTATCCAAAGAGTCTGATCTGTTAGATCTTTCTCTGTTTCCGTGTTGCATTGAAGTTCCCTGAGTCTCTTTCTTGCTGCTGTAGATAGAGGTATCCTCTTCACTTGATTGCGCTGTAACTGGACGCCGATCTTGGGTTTGTTTGTATAAGAGCAGCGGAGTGTCTGCTTTGGAGGGCCAAGAACTTTTCCACCCATAGGCTAGCGGTTCCACCGGTCCAAGCTCCGGGTGCTCAGAGATGAGCTGACAGGTAAGGCCCTCAGAAGTCTTAAAAAAAAAAAAAAAAAAAAAAGGGCGACGGCCTTGAGATATCATCATTAAGCTGACTGGCCCCAGCCAATTCAATGAAATAATCGGTTTTACGACTTTACTCATCAAGGGGTTCCATCATTTGGATTCGAACACGGGTCTGTGTTTTCAACAGTTCATGGGTGTGGTCCCCACTGAGCTAGGCTCTTGGGTAGGCCCTTAGAAGTCTTAATATGTTCCCTCACTGGAACTTGCCCCCAGCCTGTCGTAGCTGGAACTGTGGATTCTGCTTCCAGCTTCAGCAGCTCCGACCCATACTTTTTTTTTTTTTTTTTTTTTTTTTTTTTTTTTTTTTGAATTTTTACCATTTCTCTATTTATGCTGTCTCTTATACACATCTAGATGTGTATAAGAGACAGCT